CTATTAAATAATTTAATAATAATATTGAAGAAATTACTACAAAAAGCTATTTTAAAAATGTTAAACGGAAATAGACAAGACTAGAAATTTAAGATACAATAGACAATATTTACAGAGTGATGCATGAACAATAAATAGAGCTCATAATCCACTAAAAAAGAGCAACAGTGGTCAACAATAAAATTCAAAATGATAGGTCTAATAGTATCCACCATAATAATTTCAGATACAGAAAGTGAATGAAACAATGAGACAAGTCTCAATAACAAAAAAAAAAAAAATTGAATTACGAACAAACTGTTTTGATCAAATGGATATTTGCAAAAATTATCATGTTCCTCTGAGACGGTTTCAGAAATTGATTTTTTGCATAAAGAATTCTAATTTTGAAAATGTTGAAGCTGATGGATCAATTGATATTGTCAATATTAATGCGCCACATAATTGAAAACTATTAGAAATTGTAAAAACCTAATAACATGAGTTAGTTAATATAACAAAAAATTATGACCTATAATCTGCTGACTGAAATAAGAATTGCACTAAACAGAATCATTATGTTTGAGTACTCAAAACCATTGGCTGAACTTCTAAATGCTGCAGCATCACCTAAATGGTTATTGAGAAGAGTTAAACAACAATGTATGATGTGATAAAATTCAATTATTTAGTAAATCAAATTATATTTACCCATTTGAAAATTCAAAGTAGGACTGGACATTCTGCCATCACCACCATTACTGAAAGCTAAGACTCTCATTTTATAAGCCTTGCCCGGAGTTAATCCTAAATTCAAAATAAGATATGTTGATTAATAAAAACACATTAAATACATTAAAAAAAAAAACTTATTTTTTTACCTTCCACATATGATTCCAGTTATCACCAATATAAATAACAGTATCATTTGCTGTGGACATATCTTGATCAGTTTCCCATACTCGAATCTACAATAGTACAAATAATATAACAGTTGTAAAATGTTTACCCTTAATATAAAAATTTACTTATATCCAATAAGAGGCTCTTCCTCCTGACTGGGAGCAACGTAACGCCAAACAACCCGAACTGTTGATGGATTGACTCCATAAACATGTACACTTGAAGGTGGATTCTGAGGAGCTTTTCTGAATGTGCGTTCTAAAAATTTGATTATGTAAATTATAACATTTCATGTTCAATAGCATAATGTGATATTAAAAATTACCCAAATATCTTTCACTCTCAGGACCTTCCCCGGCAGAATTATAGGCTATCACCTTCACAAAATAATATGTATCTGGAGATAGACCAACGATTAAAGCATGATTTAGTGTAGATCTGCTCAAATAATAAACACTGTCTTCTTCTCTGTTGTCTTTTTTCCAATATTTAAGCTGTAAAAAAGAAATGTATTAATTGTAAGTTATAATGTTATAAAATGTACCCTTCTTTTGAATACATACACGATGGCCAATCAATTTGCCTCTTATTGTCTCTCTGGACAAATTAATAGGATTCCAGGTAACATTCAAAGCAGTGGAATTGTAACTTCTGGCAACAACCAGTTGAGGAGCGACTTGAGGCATATCTTCTGCAGAATAAATTGTATGAACGTCACTCTCAGGCCCAAATCCTACGTTGTTGATTGCCTGAACTTTGACATCATATTTTGTATAATAATACATAGATGGAACATTAACTACCGCTGAATTAATATTGCCAGCCTTTTTCAGTACTTCTGTTTGAAATTCTGATTCACCTTCATGTCTTTTCCAAAATACTTTATAATGAATACCTTTACCATTCTGCTCTTGAGGTTTCAAAGCCTGTGGAAAAAATATTGAGCAATAAAATAGAAATCTTCTTTACATTACATATAATACATACATCCCACGTGATAGTTAAATCTCCAATTTTTCCACCGCCTCCACCAATATTTCTTGGTGCAATATAAGGTTTGTCACTATCTGTGCTATACAAAGGACTAGGTTTACTGTCAGTTCCTGGACCAAGGACTATTGATGGCAACAACTTTAAACTCGTACACAGACCAAGGTGTCAAGCCATTTACTGATGCTTCTTTCCTACCATTATACCGACCAATCTCATTTCCTTTGATATCTGATTATAAGTAACATAAAAATGATTAAAACATGCCACTAAATGCAATGAAAATGTTTAAAAATTGTAGCTCTTACATTCAGCTATCAATTGCCATGTTTCATTCCAATTAGTTCTTCCATACACATTGTAATACTGTATTGGAGGACCATTACTGTTTCCTTCTGTCCACTGAAGTAAAGCAGATGACTTTAATATATTCACTACTTTAATTCCACCAGGAGGTCCTGGAGGGCCATCAATATATAGCACAGTTTTAGATGATATTTGCCCAACTGCAGATTTGGCTATGCATTCATATTGTCCACTATCAGGAAGTGTTAAATTGATCAGGGTCAAATTGCCACCATCAATGATCTGATATTAATAAAAATAATATTATTATTACAGAATTTTAAAAGTCAGTTGAATTTAATTTCAAATATATTTACTATGCGCTCGTTGTACATAAAATCTTGCATCGGTATTCCGTTGTGTGTCCAAATAAAAGCGATGTCGAGCAAATCATCATAGTAAACCTCACACAATAAACTTATGTTCATGTTCACTTGAGTTCTTAACTGTTGAGGCAATCTCAGAGTAAATTGAGGTTCACCTAAAATTAAAACAAAGCATATATATACATAGATATTACATATATACATAGAAAAATTAAACAGAAGTACTTACGCAATACAATGAGTCTTCCTCTGCTTTCAGCAGAACCATAAGGATTTTGTGCTACACAAGTGTATAATCCTTCGTCATCCCTATGGGTCGGACTAATTACTAAGTTTCCATTAGGCAATATTACTCTTCTATTACCACTACCTATAAATAAATACAATAAAATCTAACATTTTTGTCAAAACTTCTATAATTACCTATTACGATGTTATTTTCTCCAGATAATCTTAGGTCTGGGTGCTGCTTCAGGATTGCATTTTATAGTAGTATTTCCATTCTCTGTGGCATAGGTTTCACTTTCCATTGGATGTTTCTTAAACGTAGGCTTACTTAGAGCTGCAAAGATTTGTTTTTAATTAACATTAACTAAATTTAAAACAATATGCCTTCGTACTTATAACTTAAGTTGTGCACTGGAATATACTGCTTTTAACTGATTTGTTGCTTTGCACTGATACATTCCATTATCTCTTGTTGGATCCAAGTATTTTATATTCAATATGTTATCCTGAATATGATATCTGTCCTGTCCATTCATGTAGAGTATCCATATCTGAAAATAGATTTGTCAATAAACCTGCATTAAGTACAGTAATATAAATAATTATACCTAGTAGTTGTCCATTTTTATACAAGTATAGTTGGCATTTGGGTAAGCAATTACTTCACATAAACCATTCAATTCACTCTTAATATCCATGATCATGTTTTCCAGCGGTATGTTGAATACAGGGTAACTCTGCACCACCAGATCTAACTTTTTAGACAGTTTTGCTCTATCATTTTTAACTGTACATTCATATGTACCTTTGTCTTGTATTGTGATGTTAGGAATTATCAACACTCTGTTATAACTTTGGAATAAGCATTTTTAGGTAAATCACCATTTAGTCTTGTCCAGTTATAAGTCGGAACCGGGCTGAAAATAATATTATACTGGAGCACAAAATATGGGCAAATTTGATATATATCACAGAACAAACATTGGATTTAATTTTTCAAATGTTGTTTACACAATAGGGGTAATATATTTACCATTATTATATTTGTTATAATTCTACATATACTTACTATCCATAAGCCATGCATTCTAATCTAACTTGCTGTCCAGCAATAGGAGCTTCAGGAAACGACTTAGGGAACGTATTTGGAAATAGCAGTATTTGATAATTAGCTAAAACAATCATAACACAAATATTTCTCAATCAAAAATAAAACATATTTTGCTACAATTTTGGTACTTACAATGAGGGAGAACTTGGAGATCAAAAATGGTCCATTCCTTCCTGTATCTGAAACTTTACTTTGAACTGTACAACTATATTTTCCTCTATCAATTGTTTCAAGAGCTGAAAAAATATATGCTCCATCATCGCTTACAAATACACGACGATCTTCTCTACAAAATTTGGGAAATATCTCTTGCCCAATAATATTTGACACCTGTAATATAATTACATTATATTATACAAAATTTTCATTTTATAATCAACATGCACATCATAAGTTTATAATTTGTTTAAAATTATTTTTGTAAAATTGAGTAATTTATACTACATTATACCTGGATAATGCTGTGGAGGATCACATATAATGCTTTGCCAAAATTGCATCGCCTCGTTCACCTTGTCTTTTCAAATTAAACTCCAAAATATACTGAAAAAACACATTTTAACTAAACAGGTCAAAAGTATTTGAAGTATGTAAAATTTAAAAATTCTTACCCAAATGATAATTCAACAGTGTTCGATAATATGGACCCAATTTATTTGAGGCCTTGCAATGATAGTTTCCTCTGTCGGTTAATTTTTTTGGTTCATGTATAATTAAATCCCACCACTGACTGTGTACTTGTTATTTAAGAGAGGTTCAATTTTATATGATGTTAAATTATCATTAACAAATTCCTGCTTAAACCATTCGTAGGTTGGAGTGGGATAACCAACTGCTAAACAGCTTTATAAAAAATCAATAATTATATAAATAATAATCAATTAATATAAATAATATTAAGTTATATACCTCAAAGTTACACCACCCGATATATTTTTTTTAGTTATATCAAATATAGTATCTTCGGGTTGTCTTACAAAAACTGGACCCATAGGAATCATTTTTTTATCAGGAATATCAATTCCAAAGTCTAATTCTCGAGTAGCATATATATAATGCTGCAGTTTACTTGAGTGACCCTCACAGATGAACAATGAGGTTCATTGTGAGGCGTGGGCTTAAATCCCCATCGATTCTGTACTGGTGAAAAGCTGAAGTATAATAATGCATTAATTCATAGGAAAATATGATTATTAAAAAAAGTACATTATAATTATTGCAGTATACCTGTAAGTCAATATTCTCCATATGGCTCATTAAATCTTGAGGATATATATTCTCGTTAACTAAATTTGTATTGTCATTATTGATCCATTGATTATTAATAAGTTTTGCACTTATTAAGTACCGATTATCATGATTTTCATCTTTTATAAGATGCTTGATTATGAATGCATGCTTCTTGACTGTATCAATATTTGCTAAATCAACATTGTACGTCTGTATAAAAATAAGATATGATTCAAATTGTAATATAAATTAACTTGCATTTTCAAGATTCCCATTAGTTATTATTATTACTATATTTGTTACTACCTGGCATACTTTGAATGCTTCATTTCTAGTTTTAAGACTAATAAAAAATCTGAAACATATATCATTATAGCTTCCACCTCTATTGAAATCCGAATTGGAGTCTGGGTTGTATGAAATCCAAAACTTGGGGCAGTTACCATTGGAATTTTGATCATTATCAGATTTTTCAATGTAATCATCAATGTTCAAGGTTCCAGGACCTCGATAATCAATATTGAATTGATTAAATTGGTCTGAATTCTGATTATATCGGTAATCGTTGCCATAATCATTTAAATTGTAATTGCTATTTATATTTGAATTTCGAAAGTTTGTATACTTATCACCACCTAAGAAGTTATTTTGGTCATATGGATTGTCTTGCGGTTTATAATTTTGGTCATATAATTTATTGTCAAGTTGACATAAAACTTGTGCAATTAGACCAAATATAATTGAGAATAACCATCTATGAATCATCTTATTCATATTAGAATTTTTGAGGCGTGGCACCAAAGTTATACCGATTATAACTATTGAATGGTATTTATTTTATAAACTTTTATTTATAATGCGATTCATAATCATATAGCACTGCTGTAGCTCACATAACAATTTTACTTTCGAAAGTTAATTATTTTAAACAAAAAAGATATGAAATTAACCTACAGAGAGTAAGACATTATTGAGTTTAGTAAACACAAACATAAACAAACACAAGAGTCATGAATAGATAGGAAACTGTAGAAAGGAAAAACTTAACCTGGTGACAGCATTTGGAAGCAACTTCAATGCGGTAAAATTTAAAAAATATAATGGAAAATGGTCTAAAGATATTTTGAATTATTATAATTAATTTTCATTGCTTTCATTGTTTATTTAAATTTTATATTCAATAAGGATTCAATAAGGATAAAAAATTAATGAAAACTAAAACAACTTTGTGGTTTTGAAGGTACAAAATGTAATGGCCGCAACGTGGACCTAATTCTCTTTCTAACTTGCGAATTAATATAATGCATTATTATATTTATATTTTTAAGAATATTTAGTTAGTATTAAGTTGAATTAATAGTTTATCAATAAAACTTTGCCTTTTATTTTATTCGATTTTCCTACCAGGGGGTTTGTTTGTAACCCATTTTCACAACCAATGCCTGCTATTGATTTCTGTTATCTGCGATGTGTAACTTCCGACTTGTCACATTCTCTTGTTACGATATTCGAATTAAAACAAAAAATGTTTTTTGATATAGCAATTATTGTTCAATAGTTTCACACCACAAGTGATTAAAATTTTATTTATATGAATGATACGAATATTCGTTTTATTTTGCGTTGTGTATGATATTAATATTTTAAAAGCTGTTTTCAATATGTTTTTATATTTCTTTACTTTAGATCATATTTCAAACTGATAATTTTAATAGAATTTTATTTATATGAAAATCTGTAATTATGGCTGAATCAACAACGTTGCTGGTTGATGACAACGTTAATTATGAGAAAGAAATCAGTTCGTTTCAAGATAAGAACACATGCAATAGGTATATACTTTATATACATAACATATTTTGAATTCTTATAAAACCTTTATTTTAGTTTGAGTCAGGAAGCACTTAGGTTAAAAGTATTAGAAGAGGAACAAGAACTTCTAACATCGTCTTTATTTTCATTAACAACACATTTTGCACCAGGTAAACATTGACACCACAATTCATTTCAGAAACGACCTTATTTTTATACAATATATTTCCATTAGGTGCAGTTTCGATTACATCAAATATTGAGGCACCACCATCTGAACGAGAAGTTTTATTAAAATCACTAGAAGAATTTGCTTTTCGAGGCGTTAAAAAGTAGAATTCAGTTCTAGTGATAATGAAGTCAACGAAGATAGTTCTCAGATGTCATCAGCTGAAAATAAACTATTGCGAGAGCAAGAATTAATTAATTTATTGAAAAGTGAACTCCAAGAGGTTGAAAATTATGCATATTCTACTGGTAGTGCAGGAATTCCTCAATCAGTTCTTATTGAACGTCAAAAAATCATTATTGGTATGATTATATATTTAATTTTTAGTTAATTCTTTAGAATCATCTTTGAGTTTGTTTTTTGCTAATGTTTAAATCGAGAGTTTCTCAATGTTTTGTATATCAGACTATAAGTATATCTTTTTAATTGCAGATGAATTAAGAAATAATAAATTTAAATTTGGATGAGCTTGACCAAAGTACTTTGTCTCCTGAAGAACTACGTCAGCAAGTGGATTGTGCAATAGGT